CCCCCCCGCCGTTTTCTTGCTAAAAACGGCCGAGGATTGAATTACGCTGTCCGTCCTTAAGCTTGTCATAATCCCCCGACGGGGACTATCTTATATATCGTATATATATACAGCGTCATGTGACATTGCGTTGTAAAACGAGTGTTCGAATTACGGTACGTTAGTTTCATTTTCAATAAGCAACCGCTACGAGACGCTATAGTACACGATCCTGCATTATCCCGGGTGGACCTTGACTCTTTTCGATTCAGCTACGTCGTTATTGTAGAGTGGGAAGGGAGACACAGAGAAAGAGAGAGAGTTATATATATGACACACTCGAAACTTCTTTATCGACCGCGCAGCCGCAGGCAAAATCCAGCACGTGGGGACCCCTTTCGGTCCCCCGAAGCGAAGTATGCCCCCGAGGGGCTCGCGTGATTCGCGCAAAGCACGGAAAGCAAAGCGACCATTTCGATTCAGGATGGAAGACTCCGGTGCCGGGGCCCACTCTGAGGCCTGGTAGGCAGGCAAGTCGGTACGGATGGCTGGCCGGCTTGCTTGGAGGAGTTGCAGGAGAGTGCCCATGGTAGAGGGGCTTCCCTGGTTGCTGCCGCTTGCGGGCACGAACCGCGCTACCGCCGTCAGCAGGCAGTCTTATTACGCCCGCACTCAACTACGCGAACTAAGTACTCTTCTTAGGCTGGCCAAACCACTTCGAATAACGTTCGCGGACTAGCCGACGCGAATCTTGCCTGTATTACACACGGTGTTCGTTTCGTAACGAGAGAAGCATTTGGGTTTCGGACATATTATATTTGCGAACAGTATACGCACGACGATTTTCTTGCATGTTCGATCCGGCGTACGGTTCCAACGAAGATTCTCACTTTTCGAAATCGATCTTGAATATCAGTCAGCAAGTCGAACCGGCAGGCGGTGAGGAGGCCTCGAGTTCGATTGGTCGGCGAGGACCTTCTGCCCGGTCAGAGGTAACTTTAGAACGTTTCTTTATTCGATTCGTTGTACCGATAAAGCGTGTTTCTGCATGGAGATTTTACTTTCGTAATGGTCTTTTTCTCGTTGTTTCTTTGGAAAGTGTACTTTTCGTATTTTATCGATGTGTACGTGCAAGATTTATTGGAATATCGACGATGTTTTGAAATACACGTAGAAATAAATCGTTTGGAAAAAATTGATCGAAGTATTTCGGTGAAATTTAAGCAAGGTTACAAATGTGGCGCAGTTTAGAAATTCAAGTGTACTGTTCGAGGGAGTGACATTGTCTCCCCCCCGCGTCAATTTGACGAATCAAAATTCGACAGGCACGCTTGACCCGGAATGCCAGTTTTACGCGTTAAGGTGCGAAGGAACGCGGGTGCCGTGAGTTCATGGTGAAAAATGGAAGGGAACGGATGTCCTATCGGTCGCGGCGCCGATTAGTTTCGTTTTCTTGGCAGTGAAGGCACGTCGCCGTTAACATCGACGGTCATTACGTTGTTTGTCGCGCGCCAAGAATTCGCGTCCGCGCATACCGAACTGTCACGATTACCGCGTGTCACGAATTCATCGTGTATTTTGATCGTCCGGAACGGTCGTGCTCCGCTTGGCAAAACCGACGTAAATAATCAACTGTGCTACATCGTACGAAGTTCAATCAAACCAGAAAGAAAGATAAGAACATCGAACCGTGACTGATTCGATAGGGAAAAAGAACATCTTCGTTTCGAGTCTCCATGCAAACACGCTTAATGGCCACTTTCGCTGAAAATCAGCGTTCGACCAATCAGCGTTAATCTTTGGATAATCGTGATGGTTCCTGTCTGATTTCTGGTCAAATGTTTGTCGAAGGTTACGCGTCGTATCGAGAGAGCATTATTTGGTTTACGCTCTCGAATGTTGATGTGCACGGTGATGCGGTCAGTGTGAAGACTGCTTAATAGCGAGGAACATGTGCAACCAGGGAATAGTGGCGAGGCCGATGTTGCCGGGGCACGAGCTACACTGTGACCACTCTGTTCTCGACGAACCCTGACCGATTCCACGTTCGTTTCACCATCTGACTGTCGACAGGAGACGAGGCTGGAAACGCGTCGCGGTGAAAATCCACTTGTTCCGAAAATTCTTACGTGGGTCGCGCGTGGCACGACGAAATCGGTTGAAGTGTTGTTTCGAGTTAACGCGTACGGTGTATAGACCGAGTTCTTTCAGAAGAGACGGTGTGTTCGCGAAATTACACGTTTTCACGTACATTCGGTACGCTATGAACATCAACGTTCTCGGATGTAACGGGTGGTTTGCAAGTAAGTGTGAAAAATATTTTTCTGTTTATAATCTATTGCCGCCATTGTTTTCCTCGATCGAAAAGCAGCGCCTTTTTTGAATCGATACCGAGCATCGTATTTTGTTTCGTTCTACAAAGTGAAGTGAATACAGCTGCTTTCCGAACGAGAAAGACTCGCGAGGCATTCATTAAATTCGATTAGCCTTTTCGAATATTCCGACTACATATTCGGCAAAAAGTAAACAAACAGTGGCGTTCCAGGCGGGGGGTGTTGTAACTGCACACACGCAACTTGTCGCGACACGAACCATATACAGCCATATTACATTTGATTCTTCGTTTTGATAATTAGACAACTTTAAATAAATCCTAGCAAACTTTATCTTTATTCCCAATACATCTTAATCGTTTCACGTTAAAACAATTTTCAACGATAATACTCGACTCGACAATTTTCTCCAACGAACGTTCAAAAATCCCGCTATTTTCTCCGTGCAATTCGGTTCAAAGGTTGGCATTGTTCGTCGACCATACATTGTCCCAGGCGTCTAATTAAAATTTTTCTCCCGTGCTAACGGGTCATCGTCACTTTGATACATGCAACGAAGGAGCTTATCTCGTTCAACCGCTGGTGCTCGCTCGTGTAACCCAATTAACGTTTCCAATTATACGTTTTAGAGGAAGATTAACGAGGCAGGGAAGTGTAACGAACGCCTGTTGCCTCGATATTCGTGGCGGCTCGAATCTCGCGCACGCGTGAAACGTTTTCGTGCGCCTAATTGCGATCGCGGATCAATCTCTTTCTCTTCTCTCTTGCAATACAGCTTCGCGAATCGCGCGTGATGCATATAATGCACTTGTTATCTGTTCGTTGCGCGTTGCCCTCACCACTCTACTCTCCGTGAACGTTTCATCTGTAATATAAGGGGGTGAGGGGCCTCCGCCTATTCGACTAATCGTGACCATGCATCACGTTACTCTATCTTCATCTAATTCCTCGACCGTTTGATGCAACAACGGTTGCAACCTGCGCGTAACCGCATTCTTTCATCGCCGTTTCTCGATCCGTCCCGTCCACGTGGATTTTCAAGGCTTATCTCTCTTTTTCCCCCCACTCCCTTACGGTACAAATTACCGTCGGCGACGGTGGTGGGGGATTCCCCGTCTGGGGAAAGTTCTGGAGACTTTGGGTCACGTCGTATTGGTCACTTGGTCGTTTGTCGCTCGACGGTAATGTAGGTTCTCAAAATTGGACTTTTTCAAGAGAGAAAGAGATCGTTGTTTCGTGACATTGGAAAAGTAGAAAGTTTCATAAATACCACCTTGAGTATTTTTTCCGTCGAAATTCAAGGCGAATTTTTATCAACGTCTGCCGTATAATTAAGCAAAATATGTAAAGGGTGGCAAAAAAGTACCGATATCATTAACTATTCTCTCTCCAAAAGTATTCATTCTTTTCTCATCAAAATACTCTTCTATCTTCTCTCAAACGGACAAATAAAATACTAGAGAATACTCGTTTGCAATATCGTTACACTATCGATGGCGTCGTCGATTTTAAACGGTCAGTGGCAACGGAACGAGGTTTCTCCACTGTGTTTCGACGTTCATATTCGTTTCAACAAAGTGTATATTGGACGTCGATAACGATTAGTATCGATCTCCTCCTCTCCTGTTTCACGGGAATAGAAAACCGCGCCACGGAATTATTCATGAATATAATTCACCGCGTTATCGGATTTATCTTTCCAGGAGGAGGTGTGTAATAGGTGGCGTGTGGCGGGGGGAGGTGTTTTTACCTGGTTGAAAGTGTGAAGAAACGCTAAGTTTATTTAGCCGTTGCTCGAGCCACAGCCGCGCGCGTCTTACTGCTAACATGACACTGAACAGGCGAGGAAAAACAAGGTCTCGGAAGAAAATGCGTGGGTTTGGTTATCAGCGTTCGGGTAATTTATGCACGCGTGACTAGTATGTATTCCTGTTCTGAACGTGGTACCGCACCGGGTCATATATCATCGGTTGTACGCGATCGAGAACTGAATAATCAATTAATAAGGTGAAAATAAATGATTGCTCCATCAACGTACGAGACGTGTATAAATCTTGCTCGTTTGCGTGTCGCTTGCTCGAGATTATTGTCCCCACGAGGGGAAAGAAAGAAAAGAAAAAATTGTCCCACGTCGTCCTCGTTTCGATAAAATGGTCCCGCGTGACATGTTGCTGCGCGCGCTAATTTTATCGTTCGCGCGCTTATTTGAATTTCACATCTTTGACAAGGGAAATTATATCTTGTCGGGTAGGAGTAATTACATTTAGCACCTTATCGACCGGGTCGTGTTATCTACTGATTATTTTGTGGTTAATGTGCAAAGTAGATGGCGTATGCATATCACTCGTTTTTTTTTTTTTTTTGTAGACCTTATCGATTCGTTCGCAGGGTAGTGTGTAATCTATTTTGAGATATTTAATGCGATGGAAATTTATCGAGTTTGAGGAGTAAGAAAATTTATTTATTTATGATTTAGAAGATATTTAACGTAATGGAAATTTCGAGGTTATCAAGCTCCGGGTCTTTCGAATTTTTAATCGAGGCTTCCGGGTTTGA